GTCCTGATAAACCCTTTATTTAGTTTACAGTGAATTCCTTTCCAGCAAAATCCTGGCCAACAGTCGTTCAAGATATTTCACAATTACAGACCTTTATCAGGCTTGGAGAGTTGCCAGGCTGATATCTTTCAGATGTCACACTGTAGCAGACAATACTTGGCAAGAATAGATTTTCACCCCAATGAACTAATTGTCTTCTGCAAAATCCCACTTCTCTTTCGCTCTTTTATTCCCTACGAGAGGGGTCATTCACCGTCCACCTGTGGCTTTACTCTCAAGTCAACCCTTGTTCCCTACTTCTGACAGCTCTGCACATGCACACACTGGGAACAGGCACCAGCTGTTCTTCTGCCTCACTGATGTCCAACTCCGAAGGCAGCTGATAACTCTCAAGAAGGCCCTGGCCCCATCTCTGCCTCCAATGCAGAGCACTCATCAGAGCCTTCCCCAGACTCTAGAACTTAAGTAATCTGACTCTTGGCCATGAAGGGCTTTAATATGTAATAAGCAGTACATTCAATTGCTCCTAGAAAATAACTGGAATAGTGTACCTCTCACAGCAATGGTATTACTCAGATGAACTGCCTGATACCGCAGATTGTATTCAGGTTCTGGATATTCTCCAAGGGTAGACCCACATAGATCACATTGCATTAAACGAGTAAAATGGAAGCAGTAAATTAGTAAAATGGAAGTGATTTAAGGCTCCATTTTGTGGCTGAGCTAGGCTTCCAAGTCCAGAAATACTTGCAATTGGTGCACAAGATTGATTTATGCAAAGGTTCCCCTGGTCACAGATACCAGATCTTCTTCCTGTGGGAGCCATGAATCCAAATTGCACATCCGATCTGTATAGGATAATGTTACCCTAAATTGCACATCAAATCTGTATAGGATATAGTCAGAGATAGTAACGGTCCTGATTGCGGGTGCAGAAAAATCAGCAACTGCTCCATCTTTCTTCCCTTACAGTTTCCAGGCATTGATCCAGCATCAGAACGTATACACATACTTCTACAATGATCAAAACAGGCATGTGGTTTGCTTAAGGAGTATTTTAATATATATGAAGACTGCTTGACTATAGTTATTGTCCTTTTACAGAAAGAGAAAAATGAATGACTACAAAAACTAAAAAAAAAGTTTATTAAGTGTCCCTTGGAAAGTGTTTAGCGGAACTTTGAGAGAAAAAGAAATAACAATAAGCAATATTTGGAGGGTATGCACTGTGGGCTTATGCCAAGCAAAGGTATAAGGGAAACAAGGGAAAAGGCCTCCATCCTTTTGACAAACAGTGTTTTTGCAAAGAGAAGGTATACAAGAACGTGAAATCTACCACGATCTTGCAAGTCTCCCTGTTTGCAAAAGCGCTTTTTGTGAAGAGAAGCATATGTAAGAACACAAGATCTACCATTTGCTGAATGCTTTCGTGAAGAGAAGCGAACTGTCGTAACTCGAGAACTACCTGAACTTTACTGATTGTTTTAGAGTGACATTAGATACATGTTGGTTAGGGGTGTGAATTTTGCTTTGGATTCAGACAATGACTGATCAATTTTCTACAAATATTAGATAGTTCTTATTTACTTTATTATTTTCTTTATATGTCATCTGACTCCCAGCAGTGCAGGGTGTTATGATGCAACAAGTGGAGATTTCAAAAATAAATGTATCAAAATTATGACAGTTTTATCTGACAGGGAAAATGTTAAGTTAAACAGCAAATAGAATAGATTAATTTCCTTTGATACAAATGTTTATCAAAGATGGGAAAATATAATTATTTCTTAGTTCATAACCACAATTGGGACTGGGAAGTGTTGCTAAACAAAATTGTAAAATGGGGGGGAAATCATGTGGCCGTGCCAATTAAGCACAGATTATCTGTAGATAAAGTGCAAGATGCACAAATGTTGGTAAAAATATTGGTGGTTAGTTGCTTAATATATATGATGGAAAGTAATCCAGATGCAAGTAATGATTAGAGTTGCAGGAACTCTTTCCTAGAGGGCAAAAGACACAACAGAACTTGAAATGTCTGGTAGGCAGGAATATTCCAGTCATAAAGGGAGGAGTGTCAGTTTGTAAGAAATTATGAGCTGAGATAGCCATAACAAGTCAGCCAATGGGAACTGTTTGGTGACTAAGAAACAGTACGTGAGTCATGTCAGACATCTTGGAGTCTGAGCATGACTTAGGGTAACTGGTCTGTATAAATATAGAGCTTCTGTGATTTCAGAGTTCTGGTACTTGCTACCATGTTGCTAGAGCTGAATGGGTATTGTATACATGCATCATGTTTTATATTATTGTATATAAACAAGTTTCTTCTATAAATGAATCCTGCTGAATTATTTACTTGTGGACTGGTTGGATTGCTGCAAACTCTAACAAGGAAGGCAGAAAAGGAGCGTCCTCCCTAGCAATTCAGAGAGTATATCTAATTCTTATGCTGATTTACTCTGGCAAAATTCTATTTGTAGACAAAAAACAATAAAGACTACTCTGAAGTAACTCCATGAATCATTCTTGGTTCTTTGGGTTTGACATATATATGTAAAACCAGAGCAGTCAATGAAATGAATGAATGCTGAATAGAAAATGATTGCTTAGTTGAATAGTAGTGCATTGAGATGATGTGGCCATAGAGAAAATGAATTAAGATCTCACTGCAACAAGCGTATAAAGGTTTAATGGTCAACAAAAAGAGGAAAACTGAGAATGTTCTGGTTGGATGCAGTTGATGAGATTCTCAAAAGACAGAGGTGTTTAAGGAACAAAGGCAGTATATGAATCTGTGTAATAGGTAATTCTCTACTTATGATTATAATGATGCCTGTCCATTATAGTTGTAAGTCATAATAGTTGTAATCCACATGACTGACCTGATTTTATAACCTGTTTTGTGGAGGTCATTAAGCAAATCACCATGATCATTAAGTGAATCCATTGTTATGGAGTATTTTTACTGTAAGTTGGTTTTTGGCAAAAGCATCCTAGTTGCCGAGTGCCTAAAATGTGGCCATGTGACAGGAATCAGCTGTCAGAACTGAGTCATGTAACTTTTGGGTAGTCGGCTGTATCTTCAATCAGTTGCTAAACAACTGGCTGTATGTCAAGGACTACCTGTAGATTTGGTGGAAGCAAAGATGGTTGTAAAAATAGAAAGGAATAGTTAACAGTGTGGTAAACAATTTTTTCTTTTATCTCTTGCTTTTCATTTATTTTGCTTTCTATTTCTTTTTATGCATTGCACAATATTATTTATTCCAACAAGAGTATGATGCTAATGTATTTATATTTCTAGTTCTTTAGTGCTTTCTTGTGGATCCTTTAGGCTTGTGACATACTTGTAGATCAGCTCTTTGCACTTATGTATATAACAATATATATGTCTGCCAAAAATTGAAATTGGAAGAGAAAAAACAAGGTCAGGCAGTATGTGTGTCTACAATCTAAACAGGGCTCACAGCTATGAAAATATACCAGATTTAAAATCTGACTTCTAAAGGCGCAGCTTAGATTGAACAAGTTAAGCAATCATAGTAGAACAATCTATATGTATACCAATGACATGCAATATTTTCATCATTTTGGGTTGTACCTGGGCAACATTTATTTATATTTATTTATCTTATAGCCAAATTGGGAAATTATACCATTGTTATTTTTCTATATGATTTGGGGGAAGAAATGGAGGATTGTGGAAACACTGACAAATATTTTACCTTTCTATGGGCAAACTCATACAAATTGACTGGCTGATGCCTCACTTAATGTATGTAAAAAAGTAACTGAAAGAATCATAGCCTGTGGGTTTGAGAATTACCTTTTAGTAGTCCTGCTTGAGTGTTCCATGAAAGTTCTGGTTCATTTCTTCTCACATTATGTTCTATGGTGATTTTCAATTCCCATGCTTATCCCCAAAGATAAACTCCCTTTCTCAAATTCCAGTTCTCAGCTACATATTGGTTGCACATATCCAAATGAACACCAGATGGCAAACCAGAAATATGAAATCATTAATTCTTTGTTGCCACCTACTAATTATTAAACAGTTGGCCAGTTCACAATTTCCAAGATTTAAAAAAAGAATTCAATTGGCCAAGAAAATGCCAAGAAAATGATGGGATAACCAGAATATTGTGATAGGGTAACCATAATATTATGCATGCCCAACTAGAGGAGGCTTTATAAGAGATAGATAATGAAGTATAGGATTGGAATTGGGAACATCACAAAATTAAAAAAATCACACCCCTTAGAATGTTATGTGTTATAGCTACATGGTCAGCAGTGCAGGTAGATAAGCTGGAATGATATACTATGGGGACAGTAAGATTTAGTGTGATATGATTTTCAGCCAGTTTCAGAATTGGAGGAGGGGGTACATCACTTTTACAGTTTAACACTTTTAATAAAGAGAATTATTTAATAATTTCCCTTGATTTTATTTTAAAAAAGTAGAACATTACATTTCAAAAATATGAGTGATATCGTAATATTGAATGGAAATATGCTTTAAGGAAACATCAGATGCCAGCTATTTATTACCTGAATAAGTTAATTTCTGCAGGCTATGGTGAATGGAATTGAGGAATGAAATACTTATTGCTGTAAAGAAATTATAATGCAGTATTAGGAGATTTGGTCATAAAACATAATCAGTTAAGAAACTTAAAACACACAAATAAATTCTGATCAAAGATAGCTGACATACTTTTAACTTAAGTAGCAAGTCAAACACAAACAAGTAAAAACATTTTTGAGATAATTGGAAAAAAGGAGCAACAGGTTTTGAAAAACTACAAGACAAAATCAAAAGTTAAATTAAATTTAATTTAAATTTAATCCAACATTTAGAGAACTAATTTTACTTATGCTGAATTTTGGTTTTTCTTAAAACAAGTTCAAGGCCTTTACTGTAAAAAATAATAATTGAACGCACGCAATTGAACAAAAAGTTGCTATTTTGTTCGATCACCTTTTTTCCACTGAAATCAAAATAATTATATCCATTTGATATTTGGAATTATAAGTTTTAACAATTCTGATTTTCTTTGCTACATCCTATTTTATACATTTTTGTATCAATGATTTTGCTCTTTTATTTTTAATCTGTCCATTTATATTTTTATATGACCTTTGGGTAAATATTGAATTTTGCACAAACATCTTAGCAATATTTCTAACAGCATTTTGGGAGGTTGCTAATATACAAGCAAATTAAGCTGTGCTGTTCTCCAGAGAGCATATTTCCTCGATTACATTTCCACTGCCCATGTGTTCTACAAAATGATTTCTTGTAAACATTAGTGCATAAAGCATTACAAGTACTCCTTTAGTTAGCTCCATGTTTCAACACCAGGATGGCTGGTCTCAGAACTTTAGAACTGATTGCTCCAGTGATCAAACAACTTGCAGCCTTTGCTTGGTACATAATATAGCAAATGCACTCGCTGAGGTAGTCCAGTCAATCCTTGTCTTAGAAACCCTTCAAAATATTTCTAGAAGGGTGACATTACGAAGAAGCCATTGTTGTGAACGGCTACCATTACAGTCCTTGATACTGGGCACCTGACTGTCTTCTTCAGTGGCTTTATCCAGGCACTGGTTACTGTTCATGTGCAACAGGATTAATTTCTTTATTGCATGTTTGGAGAACAAAAGAAGAGGAGGAGGGAAGAGAGAGAGATTCGATATCAGATATTGATGAATGAACATAACAAATTATAAACTCCCAAGTGTCCTCTGGAGCTCTCAGGCAGTGTTAATGACCAGATGACTGCAAAGAAATACAATCCTTCCTTTCCCCCCCCCCCCCCCCCCCCCCCGCCGGACCCATGCTTTCACCCCCCCCCCCTCCCCCTCCACTGCCCCCCCCCCCCCCCCCCCCCCCCCCCAATCATCAAAACTGATGAAGCTTCTTGGATGATAAGCAAAACATTTTGTTCTTCTTCCTCAAAGAAAAAACAGTCGTTTCCTTTTGAAAAAACACCTTTGAGACATCTATGACCTGGATGACTGAGAATCTCCATAGATATAACAAATGTTTGGTAATGTTGGGTAGTGTTGGGTAAGTCAGCAATCAAGCTGATATAATTCAGCATTGTTTGTAAAAGAGAGCTAGAAGAAATCAAAGTTTGAAATCTTACTTTCCACTCTCTTAGGATTCGTCTGAAAAAAGAATAGTACAAGGGCTGTAATACCATTTGGTATCACCTAGCCAGGGATAGGAAGGGTCTTTGATATGTAACATTTGAATGAGTAAATGAATGAGAGGTACTAATGTTGCTGGAACAAAAATTTAAATGTTGCTGGTAGTCTCCTGGATTGGTCAGGTAGTGTTCACTGAGTTTGCTGCATATAAGATTTTTACTTCTATAACATAGGACAATCCTCTTAGATCCCATTAACTCATTAAGTCCACTAATGGAAGAATATGGCAAGATTTTGGGGTCACTTCTTTGATAGTGACTAAATTAGCAAACAAAGAAAGTGCTGTGATTATAGTACATTTGAACTTCAGTTAAGGCATTTGGCAGAACAATGAAAAATAGACAGTACCACCACCAGATGCATTCATAATTGACTACAACTGCACCCGGCATGTAGCTCTCAGCAGAACTACAGCTACATAGAAAGAGGTTTTGCCTTGGGTCCAATGTTCTTCAATAGCTTCATAAATGATCTAGATGAGGACAACAACAAGCTGTGGGGGAATTGCTAAGACTTTGGAAGATAATTCAAGATTCAGAAGGAACTTGAAAGAATTGAGTATTGGGTCCTATTCAAGCTGCAGTTCAGCGGTGAAAAGTAAGGCAAGAAAAAAGAAATACATGTATATAGAATAGGTTGTACCTGGCTCAATAGTTTCAATTGTGAGAGGAATCTAGTGGACTACCACTTAAGTATGAACCAGCAAGTGCTACTGCTGCCAGAAAAGCCAGTGCATTTTTAGGCTGCATCAACAGAAGGATAGCATCAAGATCATGAGAAGTGCTAGTATGTGCACTAATGATGTCATACTTGGAATAGGTGCATACAATTTTGTCACCATAATACAAAAAAGATTCTGAGGCCCTAGAAAAAGTGCATAGAAGAGCAACAAAGATGATAAGAGATCTGGAGATTAAATCATATGATGAATGGTTAAGGAAACTAAATATGTCTAGGCCACTGAAGAAAAGGAAGAGAGGTGACAAGGGAAAATCACAGAGACAAAGGGGGGTTGACTTATTCTGCAAAGCATCTGAGGGCAGGACAAAAAGCTACATTTGGAAGGTTGTTCAGAGATCATACCTGGAACTAAGGAGAAATTTCCTGGCAGTGAGAGTACTTAACAAATGGAACAGTTTTCTTCCTGGTATTGTGGGTGCTCTATCACTGGAGGTTTTCAAGAAAAGATTGGATGGGGAGGGCGGAGCTGGCATCGCGACGATACGGCATGCAATCTTGGAGGTCTGAGATTGCTGCCAATATCTTTGCTCCTGGACGGTCCAAATGGATCTAAACCGTCCCGAAGAGATGGTGAAAGTGAAGAGCGCATCCTGTCGGGGATACCGCAAAGTCCCTGGTAGATCCAGGAGAAACTCTTCTTGCCAGCGGCAAAGAGGCAGCCATTAAAGCTGCTGAAGATGGGACAGCTCCGAAACGGAAGAGAACAGAAAGAGAGAGTGTGCCGGTTTGGTGAGAACTTTTTCTTTATTCTAAGATCTGAAAGGACAACCTAAGGAAAAGAAAGAATCTGTAAAAGTTTTGACAGAAGTGATTAAGCGGCGATTTTAAACAGGAATGTCAAAGTAATGTTTTTTTTCTTCTCATTGCTGGATTTTCTATACATGATCTTATATTGTGAAACTGGACTGGTTTTTTCTTTTCCATCTATTTTTTTTCCTCCTTTTTGACTTTGTAACATTTTAGGCTAGAGACTCCCTTTTAGTTATTTCTTTTTTAAAATATATTTTTCTTTCTTTTTTATTAATTCTTATTATATTTTGCTTGGAAAAGGAGAGGGAAAGTGAAAGCAAAGAAACTTTGTAACACTGCCAACTAGAGGCTTGGAAATATTCTACTTCTCCTGTGACCAGACAAAGCTGAGAAAGAAAGAACTGAGACTTTTTTTTCAAGGACATTGTTATTTGATAAGATAGAGGGAAGAGCATGGGAGAGTATTATTGCAGGTGCTCTTCTGGGTTTCTATCAACAGCTGGAGTCTGGTGTTGAAACTTAAGGGAAAAAAAGGTGATAAGTTTTTGGGGAAGAGAATTATAATAAGAGCCTTGGATAATTAAACAAAGTGCAGTGTGCTCTTTTTACTTTTTCTAAGTTGTGCTATCCCTCCTCACCAGCTTTATTTTATTTCATTTTATCTTTTTTTTTTTTTTTTTTGCAATAGCTATTTGGATCCTTGGCTTTGTTGGAGCTTGTCTTTGTTTTTCTTTTTTTCCTTTGGAAGTCCAATCTCTATGCTTGCTTTTTATTTTAAAGGGAAACCTTTAGTATTAATGTTTCCTTTTTTTTTAAGGGAATAGCCTTTTTTTCTCCTGTCCTGGTATTTTTGTTTTTCATTTACCTTTCTGGTTTATTTTTATGCACTCTTTTCTATTTGAGACCTCTCAATTGGATTAAGGTGTTGAAGAACCTGAAGAATTTTTCCTTTTCTTTCTTTTTTTTTTCAAGCCTTTATCTTCATCTAACTACTGATTGGATTAAGGTATACAAGAATTTGAAGAAATTTTGTCCTCCCTTTTTTTTATCATTACTATTTGGCTTCTTTTTTCTACTATTTTTATTTCGGACTACAATTGGTTATTTCACAATTGGATTAAGGTTTAGAAGAACCTGAAGATTTTGAATTGCTTAAAATGAGTAGGAAATTTACAGCTCCTGGTTCTTCAACTTCTACTTCTTCCTCTCCACCATCTGGAGGACAACGTTCAATATAGACAGTGTTAAAGCAAGAAAAAGAACAAGAAAAAGTGACTCTGCAGTTGATTATGCAAGGAATTCAAAATATTCAAGCAAGATCAGAAAATATTGAAAAGAGAATAGAGAACATTGAACAAAGAACAGAGAACATTGAACAAAGAACAGGGAAAACCGATGAAAAAGTGGAGAACATCCAACAAATGATGTTGAAGTATGATGAGAGATTCCAAAAAATTGAAGAAGATAAACAAAGAGACAAGAAGATTGGAGATATTGATAATAGATTAACGGTGGTTGAACAAGATAAAAGTGGCATGTTTAGATGGGAGATGGATAGATCAGAATTCTATCTTAGATCCCAAAACATAGAGGAAGAAAAAGGACAAAACTTAGCTGAGATAATGATAGAAATACTGGCTGAAGCTTTGGAAATAACTCAAGAGAAGATGATGGATGGAATAGATGAGGTTTATCGAGTTTTCACAAGATATGCGATGAGAAATAGCTTACCAAGAGAAGTTCACATTAGATTTACAAAGAAAGCCATTAAAACGCAAATATTGCAAGTGGCAAAAGAGAAAACATTGAAATATAAAGACAAGGAGATTGTGGTCTTGAAACAAATGCCCAGAAGAGTGAGAGAGATGAGAAGAGAAGAGAATACCGATTCCTGACTAAAATGCTACTTAAAAAAGAGGTGAATTATAGATGGCTGATTCCAGAAGGTTTAATATTCACATGGCAAGAACAGAGACATAGAATTGACTCAATTGAGAAAGCGGAATTATTTTATACAGAATTTTTTGGAGGGAAAGAGGAAGAGGCAGAAAAAGAAATTTCACTAATTGAATTCCAAGAGGACTGCCAAATGGCGATTGAAAAAGAAGGTGCAGTAGGTGGAAAGGTGGAAGCCAAAGAACAACGTGAACTAAGATCTACGAGAGCTGCTATTCCTAACTACAAAATATAACCATAGAAGAGAAAAAACTGATTACAATTAATATAAATGGACTTAACTCAGCCGTTAAAAGAAGGAAAACCTTTCATAAATTAGAGAAATTAAAATTTGATATAATTTGTCTACAAGAAGTACATATTAAAAAACAATATGAACAATTGCTGATACAGCCAAAACTAGAGAAAATATTTACTTCCTTGACACAACGTAAGAAAAGAGGAGTGGTTTTATATATTAAAGAGACCATCCCAGCAAAATTGATTTATACCGATGATGACGGAAGAATACTAATGGTGGAAATAATGGACAATAATACGAAAACACTCCTGATTGCAACCTATGCTCCGAATGACAAACAAGAATTCTACAAAAAATTACATATGAATATAATTGAACTGGACTACACTAACATAGTTATGATGGGAGACTTAAATGGAATTGTAGACAATAAATTGGACTATACAGCACAGAAAACAACAAAGCAAAACAGAAAGACTCTCCCTAAATCTTTTTTTAAAATGGTAGATGAAATAAACTTAAAAGATACATGGAGAGAAAGAAATGCTAAAACTAAACAATACACCTTCTATTCAAATAGACACTTATCATGGTCCAGAATAGATATGATATGGATGTCAACAGAATTAATAACTAATATTCAAGAAATAAATATTGAAACAAGTACTTGGGCAGATCACAATCCAATGACAATTAAATGGAAAGGACAAAAAAGAAGATCTAGATGGACGTTAAATAATACTATTTTAAAGGAAAAAGACTTCACACAGTGGATGGAGAAAGAATTGGCTTTTTTCTTTAGAGAAAACAAAAAAGAAGATACATCAATTCAGAATGTATGGGATACAATGAAGGCATATGTTAGAGGCTTGATAATAGATTATACAAGGAAAAGAAATACTATGAAAAGATTAGCCTCTAAGGCCTTAGAGGATGAGTATAAAAGACTTGAAAAAGAGCTACAGAAAATGCCACAGAAAAAGAACATCAAGCTAAAAATGGATATAGTTAAACATAAAATGGGTCAAATAGAAAAAGAAGAATTAACACAGAAAATTAGAGGTGCTAAACAGAACTACTTTGAAGATGCAAACAAACCAGGTAGATGGTTAGCATACAAATTGAGAAAGGAGAAAGAATCAAGGAAAATATTGCAATTAACAGATGACCAAGGCCAAGTTTGCTATGGTAGTAAAGAGAAGAAGGAAATCATTCGAGACTTCTATGGGAAACTATATATGCAAGAGAATATTGATGAGGAAAGAGTTAAACAGTACTTACAGAATGCTAATTTACCTCAGATACCTAAAGAGATTGAAACAATGTTAGAAAGCAATATAATGATGATGGAGTTAACTGAAGCACTCAAGAAGCAAAATAATGGAAAGGCACCAGGCCCAGATGGACTTCCGGCAGAATTTTACAAAACATTACAAGAATCGTTGAATCTTCCATTGCTAGAAGTTATGAATGAAGTTATGTTAAAGAAGAAGATACCTAAATCATGGTCAGAAGCCTATATTACACTTATTCCAAAAGAGGAGGCCGATCCATTACAAATTAAGAACTACAGACCTATTTCTCTACTAAATGCAGATTATAAAATCTTTGCTTCAATATTGGCAGAAAGACTTAAAAAATATCTAAATAATTTTATTCATCCTGATCAAAATGGATTTCTGCCAAAGAGACAAATTAAAGATAATATGAGAGTAATTTTGGACACCTTGGAATACTACGAGGCACATCCTGAAAAACAAATGGCTCTGATATTTCTAGATGCACAGAAGGCGTTTGATAATGTGAATTGGCGATTCATGTTATTACTGTTGGAACAGATGGGCTTTGCTAGAAAATTTATTCAAGCAATAGAAGCTATATACTATAAGCAAACGCAAAGGTAATGATAGAGGGAGAACTTACAGACTATCAATATAAGAAAAGGAACAAGACAAGGGTGCCCACTATCACCTTTGTTGTTTGTGTTAAGTTTGGAAGTGCTAAACAGAAATATTAGAGATGAAAAGAATATAAAAGGAATGAAAATCAAAAAGGAAGAGTTTAAGCTGCAAGCATTTGCAGATGATCTGGTTTTCATCTTAGAAGACCCTCTAGAAACAGCACCAAAATTGATAGAAAAAATAGACATATGGAAAGGTGGCTGGTTTGAAAATAAATAAAGATAAGACAAAGATCTTGACAAAGAATATGCTATTAAGACAAAAGGAAGAACTGGCAGACCTATTGAAAATTCAGATCACGAATAAGATCAAGTACTTGGGGATATATTTGACAGCAAGATGTAGTACACTAAAAGAGAATAATTATATCAAACTTAAACAGCAGATAGTGCTAGATCTGGCGAAATGGGAAAATTTACAACTGTCACTAATAGGGAGAATTTCAACAATCAAGATGAATATATTACCCAGAATATTACATTTGTTTCGAACAATTCCAATTAGGCTTGGAAAAGATTACTTTGAAGATTTAAATAAAATTGTGTTGAAATATATATGGCAAGGTAAGAAAGCGAGAATAAAGTTAAAACTTTTGCAAGATGCTAGAATTAGAGGAGGATTTGGTTTGCCTAATTGGGAGTTGTATTATCAAGCTACAAATCTGATGTGGGTTAAGGAATGGATAACACTAAGAAATACTAGATTGTTGACATTAGAAGGACATGATTTGTTGTTGGGGTGGCATGCTTTTTTATGGTATAAAGGAACTAAAACACAGGGGTATTTTAGAAGACATTATATACGGGAGTCTCTGTGGTTAAACTGGGAGAAGATTAAAAGACAATGTTATTTGAAAATTCCAGTCTGGCTATCGACTATTGAAGCATTTTCTTATCCTATAATATACCAAAAGGAACAAACAGTTAGATATGGTGAAATATTGAATGAAAAGGGTGAACTCAAATCTATACAAAAGCTAGAGGAACAAGGTATAAAGATGAATTGGTTTTCATATGCGCAAATACATTCAAGGTATGATAGAGATTCTAAAATGGAAGGTTTCTATGATAAATTGACTGATTTAGATAAGATTTTGACAGGTACTGATGAAAAGGTGATTAAAAAATTGTATGGATATTTATTAGAAATTAAATTAGAAGAAGAACAAGTTAAAGAAACTATGATTGCTTGGGGGAAGAATTTTGGATATGGAATTGATTTATAGAAATGGCAAAAATTGTGGTCTCAAAATTATAAAATGACAATGTCAATAGCATATAAAGAAAATTTGTATAAGATGTTTTACAGGTGGCATTTCCCCCCGACAAGAATAGCAAGAATGTTCAAGAATAAATCCGAAAAATGTTGGAAATGTCATCAGACACCTGGCTCATATTACCATATATGGTGGGCTTGTGCGGATGCTAAAAAATATTGGACTAAAATCCACATGTGGTTGGAAAAAATGACAAAAAAACATATAGACTTGAAACCAGAGATATTTTTATTGGGAATTTTACCTGAAATATATAGTAAAGACTTGAAATATCTGATTGTAAATGTATTAACAGCGGCTAGGATTGTATTTGCCAAAAACTGGAAAAATGAGAAAACACCATCACAGGAGGAAATCTTTAAGAAAATATTGGAATGTGCTGAAATGAGTAGATTGACATTTGAAATTAGAGAACAAGAGGATAAACTATTTTATAAAATTTGGGATCTATTCTATCAATGGTTAGACAATAAAATGCAGTAATGAAATATGTAGACTTTTAGAAAATAATGAATATATAAAGCTGTATTTTTTATTATATCTACAAAATGATTTTAGGATAGATTTGGGATAATATGAACTGTTATAAAACAAACTAAGTAAATTATGATTATCTTGTAAAATATGAATGAATAAAAGTATAGTCAAATGATTGATTAATAATGATACTAAGGTATTTAATTTTTGATTGAAAATACGAGATTATATGCAATGTAATTGTAATTGAAGACTATGAAATGGAAGCACAAAACAATTTGTAAACCAACCGGCACACTGTATGTATACATATGGAAGATGGCTTGATGTTTTTATGTTTTATTTGTTTATGTTTGTTTTTAAAAACCAATAAAAACTTTAAAAAAAAAATTGGATGACCATTTGACTGGGCTAAGATCTCTTGCCTTGAGCATAGGTTCCTAAGATTCCTTCCATGATTCTATGTTTCATATTCTGTAAATGAGATTGAAAATGAGATTGTTGACTATTAAGCAAGGACCTTATATGACCATGATTTATGTTTTCCTGCTGGTTATCCAACAAGCAAAGTCAATGGGAAACCTGAGATGAAGTTGCAAATCTCAGTCATGACAAGCTCCTCTTTAAATCTCTTGCAAGCAGGCTGGCATGCAAGTGAGTTTGGGTGAGCATGGTGGTTGGGCCTGGTAGAGAGGCAGGACTGCAGATCCTATAGCCTGACATGTATCAATAAGGAAGTGCTATAGCCCAGAGCGCAGGTGGGGAATGGATGCTAATGGGCTTGGTACAAATGTGGGTGGATAAACAGCCACCTGCCTGGATCCTATACTTGCCCTACAATCTGGGGGCTCTCCGGGAGAAAAAGCGACAGGAGGGAGAATATCTTACAAGAGTGACTTGTGTTCTACTTCCTCATTGACTTTGTGGGAAGCAAACAAGGAAGGCTGTAAATGGATATCATGTGACGCTATGAAATAAATTGACAGAATGTCTTTCAAAACAATGTTTTCTTTCTATTTTCTATTTATAACCAGATATTTTCTCAAAAGAGTTTGGATTCATAAAGAGACGTACCACTGGATCATACTCCCAAAGCTGATTGCCTTTTAAGTGATGGCATTTGAGCATTGTGACTGGACCATTAAGTTTGGAGACATCTAAACACAAATCATCTGTTCGGATCTCCTTGTTAGCTGTGTATGAGAAAACCTTGACAGAAAACCACATTTGATTACAACAGTGATACTTCATTATAAAATCTGAGTATAAAACCTCCTCCTAATGAAATATTTGGAAAACACCAGCCAAATGAATCTCCCTTTTTCCACTTAAAAGGTTTCCTAAACAATGGCATTTATTTTTCAAACTTCCCATTTTTCTAGATTTACTTTTTCTTCTATTATATTAAAAACTGTAATTCTATTAGCACAATTGTGCTATTGTAATGTATTACATTATGTTTACTCACTCTAAACAAAAATAGTACATAACATTAACAAATTATGTAAAGTGGGAATTTTTTTAGCAGTGTCTGTACTGACATGAGAGATGACAATTGCTACTAGAAATACTAGAAAATGGCGGCTATTAATTGGGATTCATATGGCTGAAATCTGAACTGCATTTACTTATTTGATATGGTAAATTTCCCCTGGCAAATACATTAATTTAAATATTAATGATGCAATAGTATTTGGGGGCATTTAAAATACAAAAAATTGTTTCACACGAGATGCAGGCTTACATGGGTTATCTTGCTGGAAGTGCCACAAAAATATTGGCTAAATGCCCAGTGTTTCCATATTCCATAAATCACTCAGGGCTCCAAGAGGAGGCAACAATGTTGCCAAATTAACTCTAGAAACAATTTGAATTAATTTGTGATAGAATCTTTAATCTATCCACCACTCCTATGAAAATTCATACTAGTGACTAACTTAAAGCTGATTTGATGCTGATTGTCCATAAAATGGAATTATGATTCTTCAATATGCTCCATTATTGATTAATTATAAGAATAGAGATTTTAAATATATCTGTTAAATTATTTACTGCTCAAAATATAATGAAAACAAAAAATGTTATTATTACCTGATTACCACCCATTCCATGGCAATTAAAAATTCCAACTTTTTCATTTTCTTTTCGTGCCATGTTATCTAGACACTGATTTGTTTCCGCATTTCTTATCTAAAGAAAGGTCAAAAAATCAGATAGATGATAGGTAGGTAGGTAGGTAGGTAGGTAGGTAGGTAGGTAGGTAGATGAGATAGATAGATAGATAGATAGATAGATAGATAGATAGATAGATAGATAGATAGATAGATAGATAGATAGATAGATAGACAGACAGAACACACAGACACGTGCGCACGCACACACACACACACACCAGATACATATTAACTAACTTGCACATTAGCCTTAAAAGTGTAAAGAAGGACAATTTACACATCCTCTCTCTTTAACTACTTAATAACAAAGTCATGTAGTCATTGGGCTCATATTCTCTCAGTGATTATCCTTTTTGCTTTCTCTGTAAATTTTAGCTCCGTAAGTCAGTGCACATACAGGCAGGAAGGGGGCGAGTATAACAACACAGAGATAGCACAAATATAACTATCACATTGCTAAGATTTGAAATGTGTTTGTTTTCTACTATTTATCTTGGTTTTGATCTTAAAGTTTATATAATCTGAGACACGTAATACCAATATTTTGTTCACAAATTTGGGTATGCTGTAAACTTTCCACAAACTGAAATTAGATTCTATTAGAACAGAGGTGTCAACTCACTTCGTAATGTGACGTATTGTGACTTTTCCTTTCGCTAAACTGGGCGTGGGTATAGCCAACATGTGACACATCTGGGCCACGGGCCGCGAGTTTAACAGCCTTATATTAGAGTTTTTTGTTTTTTCCTTGAAATAGGGCAACATAGTTTCTTCAGAGGCTAGCTTTCTGATAAATTACAAAGTCTTTTGATTCAATAACATACAGTATATGTATGTCAGCAAAAATATAATTATACTCACTATTGCTCAGGCTTTTTATTTTTAAATAAAAATATTGATCTCATTTTCTATTTGTATTTAGTTAGTCTTTTAAATGTTTTTTATCTGTTTTTATTAATGTTATGTTTTAAATTGTATGTTAAATTATATTACAAATATTAATTTTTCAAACTGCATTAAATGAAATTAAATTTGAGAATACATTTTCTATTTTTGTTTATAATTTATAGTTATTTGTATTTAAAAATGGTTTGTTATGACAAAATATCTATCAGTGGCACGATGTAACTTTGACACCTTTAATGCTTGGAAAGAAGTGCTTTGTTCTTTTTCTCTGTTCTATGACACTTTCTTTTGTATTTTTATCTTACAATAAAATTTAATATAAAGAAAGCTTACGTCAAAACTAGTATAAAAATGATTATATAATCCTATATTCCCCTATTAAAGATAGATTTTCACACCAAGGAAAAACTCTGTCTTAATCCCACTGTATCAAATGTTATAGGTTTCCACATGAAAAAGCATAGGTGTTTAGTAATGACATTTATTTTTCTACATGCTATATCAGGTATGGGCATTAATTTTTTCAAGAGGTCACATGAGAAACAGACTGTTGTGGAGGCTGTTGCCCGACTGCCCTGCCACTGTCAATGCCCTGCCTGCCATAGATACTGACAAATTGATTAGGACAGCTTGCGGGGCAGATGTGGCCTACAGACAATAAAATGATCAGGTCTGCACTATATGGAATTGTACATAAAACTGTTACCTCTCCCAAAGAGAAATAGTGTCGTGGTATTTGGGAATCAGGATAAACAGTCTCTAAATACCAGGAAAAAGGTTTGCACTGAAGCTTCTGTCTTAGTCCAAGTCGTGAAGAAATGTCTCCATAATCCACCTTTGTAACCCCTTTAAAGAAGTATATATTACTGTTAAAGTCTGCAGAGAATCACAATATTATTTTTTCTTTTGTACAGTTTTAGTGAAATATAAATACAGTCATATTATTTCAAAACCCAATCTTTACACATAATCTTTTTCAGAGGCTCTGAAAAACTATAATAAATTTAATCTGAGTATTAGACATGGGGACAAATTTGGTTTAAAAAGTATTTCTATAATTTAGCCTGTCAGTCCTGTCCCAACAGGCTCTCTAGGAAAGAAAAATGCTTGACTCCATCTGAAGGTGTCAAAGGATCTTTTACTAGAGACAACTGGATGCAGTGAAAGCAAGAAAGAAGAAAATCTGCACAAATTGCTACATTTCCAAACCTTTAACCTTTTGACTAGTTCATCAATGTCCACTAGGATGGTAGTTGGATGTTTTGAGAACAGGACACTTCAAGAAACAATTAACATTCCATTCCCAGGTCCTGGGTGCCCAAAAACCCTTGAAGTGTCCAGATGACATTGGTTCACACCTCTGCTTCTTGTTCTATTTATTTATTTTATTTATTTATTTATTTATTTGATTTGCCAATTGTTTACAAGATAATAAGTATAAGTGTATACATAGTTGTGAATACATGAAATGGGTACATATAAGAAAAATAAAAGAATAAGAGAAACAATAGGACAGGGATGGTAGGCACGATGGTGCGCTTATGCACGCCCCCTACAGACCTCTTAGGAAAGGGGTGAGGTCAATAGTAGACAGTCTAAGGTTAAAGTTTTTGGGGTTTGGGGAAGAGACTACAGAGTCGGGTAGAGTATTCCTTCTCACTAGTCTCCCCCTCTTTCCTCTTTTTCCAACAGGCCCTCTTATCCCCCACATCTCCCCCTCCCTCTCTGGGTTATGGCAGGCAGCAACACAAGCAAAGCCTGACATGCCTTCACAGGGGCATTAGTCCTAGAGAGAGAGAGTGATTAGAGGATGTCTCGTTGTTTAGTTATGGAATCTCTGTAGTTTGATAGAGCGTACATGCCATGCACACATGCATTCCGTTTCAGAAGGGGGAAGATGTTTCCAAGCTACTAGGTATTGGACATTTTTTGTACTTGCAGGAGTCATTAAAGACATTAGAGATATTGAAGAGAATGTCTAAGTTCAATATGCTGTTCTCCTTTAATCAGGGTGGAGATTGGAGGGGCTCCCAGCAAGGGAGAAATTAGTGCCAGCTTCCACAAGCTACAATGAAATACCAGATGGTCTTTAGGAAGTATAAGCTATACTGTGACAGGGTGGTTGTTATGCCAACATATTTGGGGCACAGTGTTTTTTTTTGCCATTTACAGCCAATGAGGTGGTCTGGGATGTGTTATGGGGCAGCTCTGGCATGGCCACAAATTCTTGTCCCATAGCCACTTTAAAAAGGGCAAAACCAGTGCTACTATGCAGGAAGTTATTTTACTTCTGCAAATGGGAGGAGGACCGACCAGTTGTCCTGCTAGTAATTAATAAAACATCTTAAATATTGTTCTAGAACCCTGTTAGTCCATTCACAAGCTCCATTAGTCTGTGGATGATGGGAACTTCTGAGTACCAGCTTGATACCTAATAATTTAAAAAATTCTTGCCAAAATTGTGAGATGAGTTGAATTCCCTGGTCTGAGATTATGTACTCTGGCACCTCATGTAGCCTGTAGATGTGTTGTACGAAGAGCTTAGCAAGAGTGCGGGCTGTGGAGATCTTTGAGCAGGGTATGAAGTGCACCTGTTTGGAAAACAGGTCTGTCATAACCCAAAAAACTTTTCTGAGCTTTCAGAAAACTCAACAATGAATTTTGGAAATCATAGAGATTTGGAAGGAAATTTCCAAGGAGCCTGGTGTTTTGCCAAAGGCTGTAGGAGTCCCGGCATTTTTTCTGGACATTGTCATATTATGGCATTCTAGATAAAGTATCTCCCCCAAAATTACAGCCCCCTAGGATATAGCGTAAGGCGAAATTGAACAGATTAAAGAACTGTACCTAGAAGACCTGTTTGGGGGAGTTTCCTAGAGGTTTTTAGGGCCTCTATGGTTTGTCCAGACCTCAAAAGAGACTTTGCTTCCCTTTAGGAAGTGTCTCCAAGTCAGGAGTGCCCATCATACCATGTAAGTTTCCTTTTCCCATCTTTCCCATTGCTGCTCCATTTCCATGAGTTTCTTTGAGGTGTATGCACAGGGTTGTAAAGCTCTCTGTCTTTTTGTAGTAATACAGTCCCATGGCTACATTGCTAGCATCTACTTGCATTATGAAAGGGGCATTTGGGTCAGGGTACTGAAGCACCGGTTCAGTGACAAACAGTCACTTTAATGTCTCAAATACAGCCTCACACTTCATAGACCATTTAAAATGGATTTAGGCTTCCCCTCCCCTTTCATTTTTAACAAGTTTGTAAGGGGTAGGGTTATCTGGGCAGTCTTGGCTGTTGGTTTTGATTTGGGTTCAAGCTTTGTGATTGCTTAATGGTCTTCGAATGTCCTGCAGAGCACCATCATAAAGCAATTAAAAGTTGTACAGCTCCAGAGCATCATCTTTGTGGAGGGTAACCATCCAATTCACTGCGGCGTCCTCTAGTGCCAGCATCACCACCCTCATTTTGGCTTCTTCAGTTACTATGTCAGCTTTGTATTGTTGCATGTAAAACCAGATGTAGGTGATGAAAAATCTCAGGTTCCCTGGGTCTCTGCTGAATTTCACTTCCAGAGATGGGGTTCGGCATCCTGTCTGTTGTGGCCTGCCAGCAGCCAGTAGAGCTGGCGGCAGACTCAGACAGTGAGGAGGTTGGGGAAGGCTCTGATGAGTGCCCTGCGTTGGAGGCAGAGATGGGGCCACAGCCGTCTGACAGTTATCAGCTGCCTTCAGAGTCAGAGATCAGTGGGGCAGAAGAACAGCTGGAGCCTGTTCCCAATGTGTGCATGCACAGAGCTGCCAGTTAAGGAACAAGGGTCGACTCAGGAGTAAAGGCACAGGTGGACAGTGAATGGCCCCTCCCATAGGAAATAAAGAGAAGCGAAAGGGGAGTGGTGTTTGCAGGAGACAATTAGTTCATTTAATTAGTGTTTTTTGTTCGTGACTCTCAGAGACTTCTTGCCAAATATTTTCTTGTACAGCACTGCACTTGGAAGCTATCGGCCTGGCAACTCTCCAAACCTGATAAGGTCTGTGGTTGTAATTCACCCTTGAAAGACTGTCTGCTGGGGCTTTGCTGGATGTGAATGATAGGAATTTACATTACCCTAATAAAGAGGGGTTTTGTCAGGAAAGGAGTCTGTTTGTGATTTTGTGAACCCTAGTCAGAACACTATCTGGGCTGGCTGGCCCACACTCGTGGTGAGGCTACAGCAGCTTTTGGCAGACACTGGTTGCTATGTGGGGCCTGGACTTGGGCTCTTGGCAGCTCTCCTGCAGCACTTGTCGCTATCACTCCATCTCTTGGTGCTAGAATGGCCTTGCAAGGATATGCAGGCCAGGACTTTACAGGCCCAAAGGTTGTCTACAGCTTCTTTCAATGCTTCCATGGCTTGCTTGATCAGCGTGCAATCATATCTGAATCGCTGGGCCGCAGTTCCTCTTCAAGCTCCACATGCAATTCTCTTTGGTTGGTTCCTTTTCCTCCCCAGGTGAGGGTCACTTCGGAGAATCTCTCATTCCATTCTTTCCAGCTGATGCTCATCAGCCACCTGGGTCTCAGTTGCTCCTTGCCAGCTGCCGCCTCTCCTACCCACTCCAGGGAGTCTGCCTGGCCATGGGATCTGGCAGTTGCCTCTCCCCAGGCATCATTCTCTTCTTGGTCACTCTCATGAGATATCTCTGGTGTAATCCCCGTGGTAGCTTGGTGGCTCCAGGTTGACGATTTTTGCAGATCTGGCTTAATATTAGCCCTGCCCCAGCTGACTCTCTAGGAAAGAAAAACGTTTGACTCCATCTGAAGGTTTCAGGGATCTTTTACTAGAGACAAATGGATGCAGCGAAAGCAAGGCCAGATCTAAAGGAAACCCGTGCAAATTGCTAGGATGGTAGCTGGATGTTATGAGAACAGGACACTTCAAGAAGCAATTAACCTTCCTTTCCCAGGTCTTCAGTGCTTAAAAATCTTTCACAGATAAAGAAAGTTCTGGCCAATTGGGGAAAATTACAACTATCAATATTAGGCCGAATAGCGACCATAAAAATGAACATACTACCGAAACTATTATTCTATTTTCAAACAATTGGATAAGAAATTTTTTCAGGAATTAGATAGGACGGTAATGAAATTTATATGGATGGGGGGGAAAGCACGCATAAAATTGAAAACATTACAAGATAGTAGAACCAGAGGCGGCCTTGGACTCCCAAAATGGGAAACATATTATCAAGCAGCAATTTTACTATGGGTTAAGGAGTGGATAAACTTAAAAAAATAAAAGAATTTTGGCAATAGAAAGTCACGACCTCCAAGTTGGGTGGCATGCCTTTCTATGGGATAAAAAGAATAAGATCCACTCCTATTTCCATAGACATTTGATAAGGGACTCACTTTTACAAACATGGGAGAAAATAAAAAAAGCATTATTTGAAAAGACCAAACTGGATTTCACCTATGGAAGCTATATTATATCCAAATACAAGGGACACTAAAAAAATGATTAGATATAAAAAAATGGTAGATGAACAGGGGGAATTAAAAACACTGGATAAACTAAAAGAACAAGGGATAATATTAGACTGGTGGGTATATTTGCAAATTCAAACTAAATTTAAGAAAGATGTAAAGGAGCTAGGGATAGATAAAGATTTACAAAAATTGGACCAAAACTTGACAGGCAAGGATATAAAATTTATAACATGAACATATAATTATTTACTGGAGGTAGAACTAGAGGAGGAAATTGTTAAGGGACCAATGAATGGCTGGGCGAGAAATGTGGGTCATAATATAAATTTGGATGAGTGGGAAAAGACTTGGACCAAGAATTGGAAGCTGACTTTGTCAACGGCAT